GTTTTACGCGCGTGTAGCAGTCAACTGATCGTCGCGAAGGCCCCGCGTACCGCCTGCGTCCTCCGACAGTAAGTTGCGCGCTCCTGTCTACCTTCCATATGCGGCCTGTAATTTGCTAACTATTTCTCGTTATAATTTAAAAACTAAGCTTCGGATAAAATTTTGATAAAGAAAAAATCGTCTCAGAATTGAGTCAGGAATATGACATTTTAAGGACAAATGTTTATTTTGAAACACCTTGTATGTACGCGTATTTAATAAGAGTTTTAAGTTTTGTACTCTTGCTGAGTGAAACGTAAAAGAAAAGTATGTCAATATCCCAGTAAGCAAGAAACATTAAAATAACATTTAGAAACGTTAATTTCATGTGCATTTTTTAAACATTTTTAAATAATATTGAATAAATGTTTTGAAAATATTATATAATTTGCGACCGCACGCGTAGGTGCGAGGCAATACAGTCGGGAGTTCGCGCGTCCGGATCGAGTAAAATTTCGCGTGGCGATCGGAGATACAAGTATTTTATCGATGTTACAACAATTGTCCCCGCGAATGTAAGCGGGGTTTGGACGCCAGACCCGCGTGAGCGAACCACTTTGATATAGTATTCGAGCTATCTCCGATCCCCGACGAACAGCCTGATAGTTTGAAGTAACTCATTTTCGCGAAAGGTTCGGACGGACGAACAACGACGGCGCGGAAGGCCGGCTAACCAGCTCCGACAATGGTAGAAGGGCGGTTCGTTAGAATTGAGGCTTAGGAGAGCGACAAGGATAAGAAAGAATTGCTCCAGACTTTAATAATGATTAAGAAAACATGTATTTCGATGGGGCAGTTGGATACAGGGTGCGAGTATTCTCGCGGGGCATTCGCATGCGCGAGACGGGGGCGCGGAAAGAGCCCCAGGGAACGCGTATTCCGGCGCCGATCCTTGGCGGATTAACGCCACGCCAGGATGCCTATACGAATTACAGACGGTCGCGGGCGAGATAAGGGACACGGGTGTGTGTCGGATAGCGAACCGGGATGACGAGAACCGAGCGAACTTTAAGCAATCACGCGATACTTCGCGGCGGAGCCGCGCCACGCCTCGCGGGTATTACTCCTCGGCGCGCAACTAGTCCCCTTGCGCACGAGGCCGAGGATCTGCAATCGCTTTTCGTTGGCGGTACAATGAGTTGCTATCGTTCGGTTCCGTCTTCCCGACTGTAATTACGAGTTGATATAATTTTCCGAGGCAATCCTGATTTCCGATATACGACTGGTGCAATAACGGCGATCGGCGCGCGGGCGCACGCGGTTCACGCGTTTGCGGCGTGCAAGGGCACGTGGCCCGAGATCTACGGCGAAATTCGCTTCTCACGACACGAGAAAATTTAACGCTCCCGACACAGAATTCAATTCATGATACGCGGAGATTCTAATATCCGATACACACGGAACGGCAGGACGGACGCTCTCACGATTTACAATCACGCAATACACTACGCGGTGACTCGGCCGGACGAGGGCGAACGCAAAGGCGACAATTTGAATGACTCTGAAGTAGCGCGATCGAGCGGGCGGTGCAAGTTCTAGTTCGCGGAACAAGTAATACTCGCAACTCTATTCTGCACGGCACTTACGTCCGCGACGCTGAAGAAATCTTTACCTTAGCACGGCCCTCCCACGTTTCGCGAAACTTGGCGACTTTACAAAATTAGCGACGTTCGTCTCACCATAGGCTCTCCGACTCTTAACTCTCGTGGACTTTCGATACTCAGTTTCGGCAGTGGATCCTGTGCCCCTTACAGCAATCACGTCTGATATCGGCGACGATTACGGCACGAGTGCCAGTCCTTTGCAGCGACGAGAGCACGTTGGTAGTGGGGCCATCTGCCGGTTCCGGCAGTCTCTTCCTGTCACGTGAGTCCTTCTTTCGCGACCCCCTGCGCCGCAGGCGGGT